CACGTTGTTCAGCCGAAATCCATTTATTGGTTGAAACGCCATTTTTTTTTTAACGAAACATCGCATCTACGCCTTTCTCAGTTGTAGGGCACCTTTTATCTTTAGATTTAAACAATATTTATAATGAATAATATTATAAATTGTATAAATATGTGTGTGTGTGTGTTATTATTGAAATCATTACTATACGCAGGAAAAGACGTCCAACAATTGTAGTAACAATCAAACTTTAGTTTTTAGGCAGAATACACTTTTTTAAGGTTTTTAGAATAATATGAAGTGCAAAAACATTTTGTAACTCAAATGTGGTTATTGTAATATTTTTGGGCTGAGTTCATACCAACTTGAAGTAATAAAAGTCAAAGATAATTGTTTACTCAAGCAAATCCCGCCTTTTTCTCATTTACACCATAACTGAAATATGTGTAGGTTAAAATATTGTTCTTATAAGTCACTAATCTAAACCTTTCATTTAAGATACTAAAACTAAGTCGATATATTACTAGCTAACTCATAATGTAAGGGCTAAGAAGGTCAACTTACAAGTGATTTCATGGTATTGATAAAGTTAAAAAATTATTTCATAGTATTGATAAAGTTAACAAGTGATTTCATAGTATTGATAAAGGTAACAAGTGATTTCACAATATTGATAAAGTTAAAAAATGATTTCATAGTATTGATAAAGTTAAAAAATGATTTCATAGTATTGATAAAGTTAACAAGTGATTTTATAGTATTGATAAAGTTAACAAGTGATTTCACAGTATTGATAAAGATAACTCAAAAAGTGTTTTCATAGTAGTAATGGTAAAGGTAACTTAAAAAGTGGTTTCTTAGTAGTAATGGTAAAGGTAACTTAAAAGTGGTTTCATAGTACTGATAAAGTTAACTTAAAAAGTGGTTTCATAGTATTGATAAAGTTAACTTAAAAGTGGTTTCATAGTATTGATAAAGTTAACTTAAAAAGTGGTTTCATAGTAGTAATGGTAAAGTTAATAAGTGATCTTACAGTATTGATAGAGTTAACTTAAAAAGTGGTTTCATAGTAGTAATGGTAAAGCTAATAAGTGATCTTACAGTATTGATATAGTTAACTTAAAAAGTGTTTTCATAGTACTGATAAAGTTAACTTAAAAAGTGGTTTCATAGTAGTAATGGTAAAGTTAACAAGTGAACTCATAGTATTGATAAAGCTAACTTAAAAGTGGTTTCATAGTATTGATAAAGTTAACTTAAAAGTGTTTTATAGTATTGATAAAGTTAACTTAAAAAGTGGTTTCATAGTAGTAATGGTAAAGTTAACAAGTGAACTCATAGTATTGATAAAGTTAACTTGCAAGATGGTTCGGTTGTATTTCTTTGAAAGTTTTTTTTTAACGATGTAAGGAGGAGAAAGTTTAAAATGATAACATAGACAGAAAAAAAGACTTAGTGACCTACACACCTTCCTATTTCATGTTATGGTTAGGTTAACATAATTGTAAATTAATAATCTATCAAAAATAGTTATCATCATCCTTCTATAAATAAAAAGACCCAAGTAGATATTACTGTAAAAAATCTAAAGGATATGTGTATAATATTTCAAACATTGTCATACGGTTGCCAGAATGCTTTCACTAATTATCGACATGTTAAATATAACATTTGGAAAACTCTTCAGTTTCCAGAAGATAAACATCTATATTCAAAAAGCCATTTTGTAAAAATGTTAATTCGTTCCTTTATATGTAAACATAATTCTCAACAACGGTCTGCAACTAAAGCAGAGAAACATAAAGCACAAGTTCTAGTCAAACTTCTGATAAAAAGGTCAGCTGCAAAAATATGCAAGTGACTATAAAAACAAACAAACCCCAACAGATTTTCATTTTCAGTAAAGCATAAACCACTCTAAATAAATTCAGACCGTATTATAGATTTCCCGTTGAAAACTATATATATATTACACGAATCATGATTAGCTCTCTAAAATACGTTATGCAATCATAACCTGTAAAGTTGCTTTCACTGTTAATGTTAATAGTATATTACCACAAATACGGTGTCTTCCAATCGAACATGGCCTCCTCCACTACTAATATTGCAACAAATCAACGAATGATATGAGTATATGACTTTTCACTGCACAGAATCATTTTTGTTTTCAGAGTCCTCATCGTTAAAAGGAAAATATTGTATTTTTGCGATTGCTATAGGTTTTCAATCAGAATAAATACAGTTATCACTACTATGAATTGTCTTATTTCACTTTCTCCCCGACGACTCAGTGGTAGATCTGAGGGCTTATAACGCTAAAAATCGGGATTTCGGTTCTGCGGGCAGAGTAAAGATAGCCCATTGTGTAGCTTTGCGCTTAATAACAAACAAACAAAACATATCTTATTGGAGAACAGTGTATGCGATGATGTAAAAATTATCAAATTAGATTTCCTTTTTATGTTATAAAGATTCTCAACAATTAAGTGAAACTACATCACGATAAGTTCTCTGTTTATGTGTCAAAACCACGCAGTCCAAACCGAAATTAAGGCGGTGTTGTTTTTCAAAAGAAATTATAGATCTACTGTTGCATTAATATTGAAATATTATAGGTTTGGACTCATTAAACAAAACTTTATGAAATGGCCAACAACGTGTAGTTGATTATCTCCGGATGACTTAAGAGTAATACAAAATAAACTTTATGATAAAACAAAACACGAACGTAATAACAGGGAGCATTTATTAAACGTTCCGGAATCGTCATAACACCATCATTAGTAATCTAGAGGTACAAAACAAACAAACAATATCTGTAATAACAACATAAATATATATATATATATAAAATAAACAATTCGAATATACAAATATAACACGAAAAAATGAAAACTGAGCCACAAGTGAAATAGTTAAAATAGGTTTAAATCCAGTGAAGACTGTGTGTTATTTAGGGAAGGAAGAAGATTTTTTGTGTATAATGTTTCTTTTATAAGAAGTTCAGTATCATGTTTGGCTGTTCAAAGAATTTTAAAGTTTGAGAGAGAACTCGAATGTTATGTTTCTGTATTGTGTTGATAGATAGTGGAGTTGGGAGGGTTTGTAACCTTTCTTCCAGTTTTTATGTGTTCACATGCTCTACTTTAAGGTGATGTTTGGTTTCACCAAAATAGGAGGCCTTACAGTCTCCGCACGTGTATAAGTAGATGAGATGTGAACAATGAGAAACGATCTTTGTAGCGAAAAAAATGTTTTAGTCTAAAGCTGGATTTCATAATAACTTTCAAGTCAATTTGGGGATAGTAAGTGTTACATAACTTTTTCAACTGTTTCATGATAAGGGAGCTCTGTCTCCCGAGATATGGTAAGCAGGTGTATAAGGGAAGTTCGGGTACAGTGGGTATCTTAGGTGGTTTGACAAACAAATTAGTTGGGAATGAAGAAGTTATTGTGCATAGGGTAGCCGTTTCGTAAGAGAATGTTTTGTATGGAAGTAATATCTTTGTGAATGGTTAAATAGGATGAGGTAAGATTGTAGGCTCTATTTAGTAGACAAAGAATAAGAACTGCGTTTGAAAGAGAAAGGTATAAAACTGTCAAACTGTGTGAAAAGACCAGTAAATGTGTTTTTACGATAGACAGAAGTTGAAAAACCGTTAACATCATGGTTAACAAGAACGTCCAGAAAGGGAATAGAGTTATTAATTTTAAATTTCATGAGTGAAATGTAGAGAGAGGTGTTGTGAATTGAGATAGTCAAGAAAGCGTTGGATATGATCAATATGGCAGAAAATAAAGAAAGTATCATCAACATACCTTCTGTAGAGAATAGGTTTGAAACTTAACGGACAGTTGTCATCCAGTTCTGTTCGTGGTGACAGAGAAAAATGTTGGCCAGCATAGGACCCAGTGGGGAGCCCATAGCAACGTCATCCATTTGCTCATATAGAGTATTGTTAAATAAGAGAAGAGAGTCTTTGGTCGAGAGTTCAAGCACAGATTTGAAATCAGACTTAGAAAATCCATTAACAAGAATGTTTTTAGATTAGAAAGTGTAATATTAATGGTTTCGTCCAGGGGAATATTATTAAAAACAGGAGTAATATCGAAGATAGCCATCATGTGATTTTTAGGGGGGGTGACTGATTTCTCTGGAAAATTGGAAGGAGTCAGGTGTTGTAAATTCGTTCGTAGTAACAGGTTTTAAGATGGGTACAACGAATTCAGCTAAATTATAACTGTGAGTGCCTAACGTAAAGTAAAGAACGGGGGGGGGGTTGTGAACATATAATATTCCAGGTTGGGAGCTTGTGGGGTATAAATTATTATAAACACAATCAGAAATAATATATTTTTTTCTTTGCCTAGGTTTCTAAGAAAACTGTAAGGCCTATATTGGTGAAACCAAACGTCATATGTGCATATTTATAAACACTGGAAGAAAGGTTACAAACCCTCCCAACTCCACTATCTATCAACACAATACAGAAACAGGACATCCGAGTTCTCTCTCAAACTTTAAAATTCTTTGAACAGCCAAACATGATACTGAACTTCTTATAAAAGAAACATTATACACAAAAAATCTTCTTCCTTCCCTAAATAACACACAATCTTCACTGGATTTAAACCTATTTTAACTATTTCACTTGTGGCTCAGTTTTCATTTTTTCGTGTTATATTTGTATATTCGAATTGTCTATTTCTTATGTAAATATTTATGTTGTTATTACAGATATTGTTTGTTTGTTTTGTACCTCTAGATTACTAATGATGGAATTATGACGATTCCGGAACGTTTAATAAACACTTCCTGTTATTACGTTCGTGTTTTGTTTTATCATTAAGCTACGTTTTCCGAAAAATGAATCGATTACTAAAGTAAACTTTTCGTTTCTTTAAAGACTACTGCTTCGTCATGCTCCACTTGATGAAATCAGATTATCTTAAGTGTATACAATGTCTTAAGAACCTTGAATACAGTGTCAACAATTAAGATAAGGTAACCAATAAAATTACGTTACCCTAACTAACCGTACATGAGACCACGGTTTAGCCTCAACATCTACTTTTTCTTTTTTAAAAACTTCTTCCAGAACAGTTTCCTTTGGTGGCTGCCCCATAGCGATTGGACTCTGTAAACGTCTTCCTCGTTGACGATAGGGCAAATCTTCACCAATCTTGATGGATTTCATCTCGTGAGGGTCGGAAATGGTAAAGAAAAATGGGTTAGGTTTAACTCGTCTTTGCGGCGTTCCTTGTTGGTTTCCTGGGAAAGTGGGTATGGAAGACGTTGGAGATGACATTTTAAATGAAGTAACCGTTTGATTTGTTCTACAGTTAAAAGCTACAAATAAATAAAATAAAATAATAAGAAATATTTATAAATATTCTGGACCAGACATATCAAAATAATTACAAAAGTCGTTCCATTACATTTCATTATATCACGACGTAATTCCTACGTTCATACCCACGAGACTGGAAGGGATAGCATTGTTATTTCTTCTATAGAGTTATATATTAAGCATACATTTTAATTAGGGAAACGATATAAAAGTGTTCATGTTAGTAATAATAATTTATTTAAACAGAATGGTTTTCACTAAACTTCGGATTTCTGGATACAAAAAAAAAATATTATAAGGCTGATTTAATAAAACTAGATTGAGTTGAAACACTAATATGAGCATGTGATTCTAAAGCTTTTCAGAGTGCAAAACCAATTACTATGGATATATGTATAACACTTACAATTTGTAGCTCAATAATGGAAGTACTTTATATAAACAAGATCCTTTCTTTAATTCGGACAAAAATATTGCGCTTTATTTAGTGTTACGTTTTAACTTACGTTCTACTAATTCACGTAACTCTAAGAACCCATGAGTGAAAGCAAAGGAGAACACTGTTATGACAGCGGAAGTCACGTGACCCTGGGATGAGTTTCTAGAAGGATATGAAGTCCCGAGTGTTTGCCAGACGTTCTCTATTTTAGTATATAAGTCCGGCAAATAAAACGGAGATATAATTTTGCAGATAGAGAGATATAGAAACAGATAATTGAGTCAAGTGAGCGGTAGTGACCGTAAGTAAAGTGTGTGAATCGTTTTGAATTATAGCGTGTGTTTGAGTTAAAGTGACTGTGGAAATTCTGTGTATTGCAAAGTTGTATTGAGAAAGAATAAACAGAGGCAATCACCGTCCAATAAAGATCCCTCCGAGGAGAATAGCTCCAACAAAACGACAAGAAATGGATGGCCTAATTAAGGAAGGGATAGTCGAGAAATCAGATAGTCCCTGGTCAGCTCCTGTCGTGTTAGTCCAGAAGGAGGATGGGACCCAACGTTGCTGTGTGGACTTCAGGGCTCGTATAACCGAAAAAGACTCATACCCACTGCCAATAATTGATGATACTCTTGATGCCCTAAGTGGAGCCAGGTGGTTTTCAATTCTAGACTTAAAGTCGGGTTTCCATCAAGTGAAAACGGCTGAAGCAGATAAACCTAAGACTGCATTTAGTTATGGCCAAGGTCTCTGGTAATACCGTGTGATGCCATTCGAGCTTAGCAATGCTCCAGCAACATTTGAGAGGCTGATGGAAAGAGTGCTGGATCGCCTAGAATGGAGAATAGCCCTAGTGTACCTGGATGATGTCATTGTGTTTGCAACATCGTTTGATGAGGAAATGTCCTGGCTAGAGGAAGTATTCAAGCGTTTGAAAGCAACCAACCTCAAACTCCATCCCGAGAAATGCCACTTGTCCCAAAAAAAGGTGCTTTACTTGGGTCACATTGTAAGTGAGCATGGTGTGCGAACTGATCCTGACAAGGTGAAAGTAGTGCGTGATTTGGCCAACACCAGACAATGTGGGAGAGTTAAAAAGACATTGAGTCACCTACAACAGAGATTTTACTGGATAGGTATGAAGCAAGATATGGAAGAATGGTGCAGGACCTGCAGTACATGTTGTGCTAAAAGGGAACCCAAGCATAAGGGACGTGCTCCAATGAAGTTATATCAAGTTGGCGCACCAATGGAAAGATTAGCTGTTGACATTGCTAGTCCTTTGCTCCAAACTCGTGCTGGAAACAAGTACATTTGTGTGGTGATGGATTATTTCACCAAATGGCCTGAGGTATATGCAATACCAAATCAGGAAGCTACAACTGTAGCCTCGACTATTAGTGATTTCTTCTTCAGGTTTTGTATGCCATAAGAACTGCATTCAGATCAAGGCCGTAACTTCGAATAAGCTGTGTTCCAACAATGCTGCAAGTTGTTTGGCATACGAAAGACCAGGATGATGCCACCCACAGTCTGATGGGATGTTAGAAAAGTACAATTGGACACCTGGACAGGAATTGGCAAAGTTTTTTAACAGCCGCTAAGATGACTGGGATGTCTTACTCCCTCCACTGTTGATGGCCTATGGAATAGCAGAGCATGAAGTCACTGGATACACTCCAGCAAAGTTGATGTTTGGTCGGGAACTTCGGTTGCCAGTGGATCTGATAACAGGACGCCCACTTTACGAAGAGTTGCCTGAAAATGTGGCAGAGTTCGTGAAAGTGTTATCTGAAAGGATGGATGACATTCATCATCAAGTGCGTTCAAACTTGAAAATGTCTGCTGATTCCATGAAGCTATGTTATGATAAGAGATCTACTGAAGTCAGCTTTGTATCAGGAGACAAGGTGTGGTTGTATAATCTCACGAAGATCAAAGGGAAGTGTCCTAAGTTGTCTTCTCCATGGGAAAGCCCATATGACATAGTGGATCGTCTCTCAGACGTGACTTTCTGAATAAAATGTGGTCGGCGAGGTAAGCCAAAGGTGGTGCATGCCAACAGGCTTTGGCATTATCATGGTCGAGGACATTTCAGTTGGAACGAAGTGAACAATGGAACAAATGACGCTGCTGAATACGTGTCATCTGAAAAAGCCACTGTCGAAGAAGAAACTCTACCCGGTTTTTTAGAAGGGAAACAGTGAAGCCCTTGATGAAGCTACAACCACTGATGTGACTGTTACCGATGATAGGACATTTCCTGATGGAGCAGATGAATCCCACGTGAAGCAGAAGCCAACGAGACAGAGACCAGTACTCAAACACAAAATTAAAATTCAACAAAGTCTCTTAATTTTACGGACGTATCTTCTTCCTAATTCTGTACATTTTAATTAAGTTATTGTTGTTGGTTTATTGCATGTGGTTATTGTTCGGGACAAACAATACTAAGGAGGGGCAGTGTTGCGTCAGCGAGGTCACGTGACTAGTGTCACGCCACGTTTCTAGAACTATCCTGTTCCTTCGGGAGTGCTCTAGCATTTGCTAGATTGGGGGTGCCTGGTATATATAAGATGGTCACGGCGTGACGTGAGTGTGTGTGTAGGTAATGAGTAATTGAACTGCAGTCAGAGAGAGACGTATTGTTGAAGTCTAGTTCGTGATACGTGAATTACAGTTTGTTATAGCGCAACTGTTGAAGTTGAGTGTATCGGTAAAGTTATATTCAGAAAGAATAAACCAGTTTTATTTAAGAAAGGACTTGTGTCGCTAAAGCTTCGTCGGAACTAAGTTACGGAAAATTAAGTTAAAATGGGAGAATGAGTTAAGTGGTGTTTGTATACC